AAATAGGATGAAGACGATGGAGGCGAGTTACCCCCCTTACGTTGTGAACTATGCCAACAAGAGTATCAAACACCCGGAGATTGGGTGCGGCACATTCAAAGTGCGCATACAGAAGAACAGCTGGCCATTACAAATAGTTTAGCAAGTGGTGGATCGGGTATATTACCCTCAGCCAAACGACCGCGACCAAGAATAATGAATGGCCGCAAAGTGTGTCCAACTTGTACAAAGACATTTCCATCTCATGCGAGCATGTTGATACATAGTCGGACGCATACGGGTGAACGGCCGTACCAGTGTGGTGTCTGCAATAAAGGTTTTAACGTAAAAAGTAATTTACTGAGACACATGAGAACATTGCACGATACAGTTATAAGTCCCAATGCCATGGTCGAGTACTGTAATGCCCAAGACGAAGTACCCCCTACGACATAAAAATATTAAATTTAACATAATTGTTTATAAATTTAGATTACATTTTTACTTTTTTGGTCTAACTTATTTTTAGAGAATTCATGAATAAACTCAATTGCTAATTGCATAATTGAATTTACAAATGTATTTACATGGAAACTTTCCAACTTAATTTACTTTCCTTAAATTCTTTCAATTTTTATTGACAGCTTATACGTAATGTATATTGATAATGAGCTCCTTTAAAATTTTACTTCCAATTTATTTATAAGACAATTTACAACACACAAATGTTGTAATAATACATACCAAATTCATACTGTTTTATATGAAATAATGTTACTTTTGTTTTAGTGCAAATGCTTTTATCTTTCCAGCATTTTTTTTTTTTTTGAACTTTTACTAAAGTATATCATAGTTTTGATACTAGTACAAAATAAGCAGATGTTAAGAATTAAAATTTATTTTTCAACAATGATAAAAAGATCATTGTCTTCCTGCATATATTGAATTATATTATAATATTGTGTAAAATCCTAATAAAATGTATATAGTGATGTAAAAATAATTAGGATCTCATTCCATTTTACATTATTTTTCAAAGATTTTCTACTTATAGTAAATATTTATTATATTTATCCCAAATCCCTATAATAATGTGAAATTGTAATATTAAAAATGTACTTTTATTATATGCTCAGTAATTCAATAATTATTGTTAATTACTATACATTATATTTCTTTCAGTACTTTATTTTTTACGATCTTATAATGTTGTAAATATTTAATAGAAATAAATGAAAATAAAAATATTAAACTGACTATTTTTATGTATACAAATAAGAATTCTGTTAAAATGCTTAAGTAATAAGTTTGTCCTTAGGATCTATTTTAGATAAATAATACAATTAAAATTAATCATCTTCTTCAATTTTAGGTGCTAAATAATACCGGATATAACCCAACTCTTCAATTTGGTATTCTACAACTAGTGGGACATCTCCAGACATTGATAAAATAACCTAAAAATGAAAAGAAATATTAGTTAAACACAAAAATAATTTTTCACCAAACTATAATAATATAGTACTTGTGGAGACAACGGAGCTGCTTTGCAAAACAAATTCAGGTAACGACAAGCAAATGTCAAACACACAGCTTGTTGCATTTCAATGGTAACTCCTTCTTCTTCTTTATCGATTGATGAGTTTTGGGAAAGTTTGACATTAGCTAGTTGAAATTAAATAAAGATAATTAATATAACTATTTAGAACAATTTCTAAAATGCAGTTAACTTACCTGACCCAATATCACCTGAAGTAGAGAATTTTACTCCATCTTTAGTACAAGCAATAATGACAGATTCTCCAAACTGACTCAAATCTCTGCAAATTCTTGCAAACTCAGTCGAAGGCATCTTAATTATACAAGAATAATTTGTTTCCTAAAAATAAAAACATAAATATTTATCATCCAAATACTTCAACTGTAATATCATAACAAATTAAAACCCATTGTGCATTATACAATAGTAAGTATCGTTTTATATTTTAAAAATACGATAAACAGAATAAAACTTATATTCAGTTGTCATAGATTTAAGTACCAAATTAATTATTTATACTTATCATTTTTAGTAAATATATTATACTTCTATAGCTTCTATACCATATTGTCATTGTTAAATTTTATAGAAATTTGACAAGGGTCAAACATACAAGGAATAAAAAAAAAATATTTTTAATTAAGAAGTTTATTTGCATAATTAACAGTTAGGTAATTAGAGTTTATTTCATATAGCACTATTGGCTCTGATTAATAAAACTGTCCTCCTAATTTTCCATGTGCAATAGGTCTCATCAAAAAGATTTATTGTGATTTGTAATAATTTTTTTTATTACGTAGAATAATGATTTTGAAAAAACAAATGAGTTGATATATATTTGTGAGTGACTTGAAATTTATATTTGGATCCACTCTTGAAATGAAGAACATTTTGTGATTTAACTAATAAAATATAAGTTGATATCTTATATACAAACACTTAAAACATTGGAATAAAAATGCATTTGTATCTAACTAAATGTTAATAAATGTGACATGCTCTGAATTTCTATAATATAATATAAACTACATAAGACAATAATAAAGGGAGGATAACATAATTAATAAAGGAAAAAACTAGTCGACAGGTAGTGAAAATAGCTCAATCATATATCCTTATATTACATAATTTTTTATGCATAGTACCGATTAGTGAATTATTATTTTAATATGCAGTCAGTAACAATAAAATGACACTAGGTACCCAGGCATTTGTTGTCCCTCTTCAACAAAAATACAACATACCAAATTCAGTAATTTCAGTAGCGTCAAAATAGTTTTCATATTAAAGTGAATTGACTAGAAATTGACCTTTTAGGTACAAACATCATCTTAAGAAGACGTTATACCCGCATGTTTTGTCTCCGTCTTACAAGTGCGTACTATGCCAAATTTTGAACTCAAAAGATCACGTTTAGCTCTGTCAGTCTAATTAAAAATTAGAGTGCATTGACCTCTTATTAAAATTAAAGGTAAGATTATTAAGGAGGGTTTCTCATGGGCTTTTTATTAAATTTTAATTTTAAAGAAAGTTATGAGTATTTAAAAATTGTAAATTGTTTGTATAAATTAAAATACTCATAACTCTCTATAAAATTAAAATATAATCAAATGCCCATAAGAAGCCCTTCTTTATAATCTTACCTTTAATTTTAATAAGAGGTCAATTCACTCTAATTTTTAAGGTAACTGAGCTAATTGTGATTAGCTGAATGTAAAATTTGATGTTACGCTCTTGTAAGACGGAAACAACACATGCAGGTATAATGTCTTCTCAAGTGTTAACTTTTATTCAATAATTTAATTTTCATCCAAGATATGGGTATGAAATATCACAGACTAAAAATGCTCATATTTTGCTTGAAAATTTTGAAAATTAAAATATTGAATACAAGCAGACGCTTAAGCACAGATAATATTCTTACCTAAAAGTTTGAAAACCGGTCAAATTTGTAGATAGTAATTCATTCATAAATAGAAATCGAATTAAATGAATTAAATGAAATCGTTCATTTTTATTCATTGAACATGAACAGGTTTAGTTTTAAAGTGAACTTTCCTAACATTGAGATGCACAATATACAACATTGTTACCCCCGTCTTAATAAGCGTGCAATAAAATATATATAATTTTGAAAGACCAATATTTTAGAAACAATTTTACTAATTATTTAACATTAATTCTCAACGTACAGGAATACCAAGATGTTCTTGATCCAAATTCATTAGTTTCATTTCATAGTCTGACATTTTCTCCTGGTTTGATGTCTCAAACATAATAGTGAGAGTATCTGCATTATCTTGGGCTTTGATAGTCATAATGTCATCATTAGAACAACATTTCATGATTTTCACCATGCTAAATAAATATACAAACATGAAAAATTAATATATTCAATATTCATCAACAACATACTACAAGTAATAATGTGCTTATTTATACCTTTCTAGATTAATGCCCATTGACAAGTTCCGATCGCAGCGAAACTTATCAAAACCAGTACTTTTCAAGCACATGGACACTAAGCTGACATGGGCGTCATCCATGGCCTGAAGTTGAATCCCAGAATCGGAACAATCAAATGTCGCTTCTTTTAATAGTTCCTTAATGGCTTCCAAAATCTTTTTGAGCTGACCACTCTTCAAAAGTCTTGCTTCAAACATGATGTATTGGGTAATTAAGTTCGAGAAAAACAAATAATATTCTAGAAGAATTAATTAAGAACAGCGACGAGTTTCAGTGAGAGTATGTGTAATACTAAAATATAAGTTTGGCGGTTGATTACTTAGATGCAGCAGAAAAAATGAACAATGCCGAAGTCGCTATTCTACAAAACGAGTAAACGATAAAACGACTCACAAACTACAGTCACAAAAGATAGGGCTCATAAGCGCGGGAAAATGGCGGCACTTGACAATGTGACCAACAGAAGAACTTCTTGAATTCTCAAGATTTGATTTATTTTAACAATTCATAATTTACTGTCATTTTTTTAAATTGTGGTTTAACAATTTATTGAAACATTTTCCTAATGATTTTTTTAATTTTTAATTTAATTTTTCTGTATCTATGGTTTATTATAATAGAATTATTAATTATTTTGTTCATGATTATTAATATTTCGTCGAACAGTAAAACCACATTAGAAAAATAATTAAAACGTTTAGGTAGTGTAGGCCATAGACCTATTAACTTGTAAATTTTTATAAAAATAAATAAATAGTTTTATTTCTATTCAAAAAACACTTCTTGTAATTTGTTTCTTGTTAAAAAAATTAAATATTCGTCTTAAGTAATTGTCAATTTTATGTATAAACAAAATACAAAAATAAAACAATGTGTTTTTCTTGTTATCATTGGAGCCTCGATGTAGAGAAGAACTACTTCCTCTCTACTTCGTGATTGGAGCACTATCAATTCTATCAGTTATCACTATTCACTAATCAGTATAGGTATCACAAATCCGAATTCTTATATACTATTTTATATTGACCAAAGTATGCGAATTGCGATAACTATTTGCCGAATGGTATGCGTCTTTCACAGTTGCATTGTTGCACACTTCCTGCAGTTTATAGTCACTAGTCACTACTCGGCAGTCGCTAGTCAGTAGTCACTTTGATCAGTTGTGATGGGCATTACACTGTTGCTGCATTACTAGTCTGAATTACGTATTGACGTAGTCTACGTTTTTCGTAGTAGATTAGATGTACTGTAAGACTTCATCGTACTCAATCGTTTATACTTACATTTCTATAGCTTTCGAAGTGCATTAAACAAAAAAAACAAATTAACTCTATTTCGCGCCATGAGTTTAAAACTAATTTTTTTCATTAAATATTCGCATAGTTTGTTTGTCGTTACTGATTTTTAAAAACATAGTGTTATAATGGAACCTGTAGTTAATTGGAAGCCGCGAGAAGTGTCCATTTGGCTGGAGAAAAAGGGTCATAGTAAATATTCTCGAATACTTACTGAAGATCATTGCATTGATGGTCGTGCTCTTTTACTCATTAACGAAGCTGACTTGAAAAGTCCACCTATAAGTATTAATGTATGATTTCTTTGTTTCATATTTCATTATTTAAAATTGCATAATACTTACTTAATAATTGATTTTTCATTCAACATTTAGGTCTTAGGTGATATTAAAAGATTAATGTTGGATATTCGTCAATTAAAAGTAGAAAATCGACAGACCCTTTTACAACTTGGATTTGATCCTATATCGCTACTTACAAAACCTGTATGTAGTGCACATGTTTATGGAACTCAATTCCGACCAGATGTAAGTGTCACAAATTAATTATTATTATTTTTACCTTATTATTTACTATTCTATTATATTAGTATGCTGAATAGGTAACAAATCATTGCTTATAAAAAAAACAGTTCTGTGCAGAAACATATTTCAGCCTCTATTTCTAAGGAAATTTTATAATTTATTTATATATCTATTGCTTGTTAGCTTTGGAACCCCTAATCTCATGATGATTTTGTTCAATATTTAAAAGTCTTAGACATGTACCACATCATGGGCCAAGATCATAAGTGTGTGCTGACTCTAAAAGCAGGTAGTGTTCATATATTATCATGGCCCTGTAGTCAACAATGTTGTAAATACAGCACACATGGATTTTATTTTTTGGACTTTTTTCCGTTATAACATTATAAATAACGTTTTGAAGACCTGCTATATATAAGGTGCCCAATAATAAACTACAGAGTGCACATAATGAAGCATTCAATTTTTTTCAAATTCGCTTTAAAAATATTATCTAAAATTAAATATGGTATTTTACATTTATGGCAAATGTATGAGTAATATAATTGAGGGATGAAGCGCTTTGACCAATGAATAACCGAAGGACTTGCCTGGGCACGAGTAAACTATCAAACTTATCAATTGTCCAGAACAAAAGAGATATGGGTAGGTAGTCCTTAATAATGAAACCATTTAAACAAATAAACTGAAAAACAAGTCCATTGTTATTATATTTTTAGTATAATTATATTACTTATTAATAAATAAAAATAATTTGTTTTACGAAGATAATAGAGAATAATTAGGAAAATGAATTTAATGCAGTAGAAACCTTTAAAAAATTAATATAAAATTTCAATATAAATGTACTATAAATTCTGAAAATGCATTATAAGTTCAAAGTATATATTGTATTAAAGTTTATCAAGCTTATTAAAAAAACATATTTTTATTAATGTACAGAAGTGTATTTTAATACGTTATATGTATAAAGACAAAAATTAAAAAATGATTCATGTGTGTAAACAGTTTTAATTAACGGGTCTTGTTAAATAAAATTGTTTAAATATTGAAAAAAGTAAGAAAAAAATCGATATATTGAAGAATTACTTTAAAATTCATAAAATGTCAAAAAAAAAAACTCAAAATTGAGTTTGTTTATACCTACTTCAAACTTTGTGTTTAGAAAGGTATTTTTTACAATAAGATAAAAAGAATGAATTTTCTTTCAAATTTGCAGCCTACTATAATATATGTGATTATTTTATTAATAGAGATATCAAATGTAACAGATAAGGAGTTTTAAAAAAAAAATATGAAATTTGAAGGGCAAAGCCACTCTGGTTTTGTTTCCTCTAAAATTTATTTAGCATTTAAGCCCAGGAAATATCTTAGGGCTATTTGCTCCTATAATTGTAAGTAATACAATAAGTTGAGTAAATTTTTTTCTTAAAACATTCCATACAGGACACAGGTATATAATTTTTGAAATGTCATTCAATAAATAATAATACAGATACGCGATGGTGAAAAGTTTCAAGTCCTTACAGTTAATATTTTTTGAATAACAACAAAATAACAAAAGTCAATTTAGGAAAAAAATTGTATACGTTTCAAAATCAATTTTTGTATTAATTTTAATTTAAGCAGTCATAAAAAATTAATGTGGCTTTAAAATAAACCTTTTAAAAAAAAAATGAATTGTGACTTTCTATGATATTTTATAATAGCTTTAAAAACAAATTATAAGTAACCTTGTGCTTATTAATTTTTCAAACATTTTAACTGAAATTTTAAAGTGTGCACTGTAATTCCTTTTTTAATTGCAACAAAAAATCAAAATTGGTGTTGCATTATTTAATTTAATTTCTTTTGGTTTATCCCGAAATACTTTGAGAAATATTGACTATTTTTTAATTCTGTTGCTATTTTTTTATAAACTGGATCCAATTTACTACCAGATACTTTATTCACTAAGTATTTTTATTACTTTAAGACCATTATTTTTCAACCAATATATATTCATTGTTCTGCTCATAATCTAAGAAAAATGAGTTATGGCTATTAAAACCATTTATTCATTCTTTAGCTACCTACATATGAAAAATTATTATACCCAAGAAAAAAACAAGAAAATATTATTTTCATGTAGGTATCTATTGGTTCATTAAATAAATTGTCGGTATACATTGTTAGATTGACTAAAAAAACAACTTTTCTATAAAATATATATTTCAGTATTTATTTTCTACTTTTTTAGAACTAATTGCAATGTCTTCATAACTTATAGTTAGTAAGTTTATATGCTAATAATACATTTATCACCAATCTATTAATTTTCTTTATTGATATTATATATTCTTAATTAAACGGTTATTACTCAATTTCAATTGACTAGGATATTTAAATAATCAACAATTTATATTATTTATGTCATGTATGAGAAATATTAATCATAAAATGGCAATCAAAAATTTATTTTATTAATCATGCTTTGACTTAAGTGATGCAATTGTTTTTACTAAAATAGTAAAATACTGATTTATGATATTTGTAAATTCATCTAGACAAAGTTATTAAAAAAAAATAATGAATTGGCTTAAATCATATTATTTATATAAACTTTATCAATGAACATTTATAGAGGTAATAATTAATTAATTTTAATGATAATTTCATTTAGATTTTATGGTCCATTTATCTAACTTTTTAGTTTTTATTGAATCACTATTATAATTGGTTTATTATTTGTGTACAGGGTTCGGGACTTATAGCCCTAAAAAACATCAAAATATGCGCTTATATATACCTCAAAAAACCAAAAAATATAAAAACAAGCACTTAAAAAAAATTTAATTAATTTCATATATTTGACATTTAATAATAATAATTTAAATATCAGGAAACAACTGATAATATATTATAATTTATAGCACATGAACATAATAAAAATTGATGTATTAGATAAGTACAAAAATCTAACTATGCATATTATGTGACGTCTTAATAAACCAACTCACATAACTACATGTTTTCAACCGTTGATCAGTGATCACATTGTTGTGCAATATTTTTCTGATCTATACAATATAATCAATTATTATCCATGAATCTATGACCATGATTTGTGAATAATAGTGGTAATTGTTGAAAATTGTTAAATAAGCGTCAATATACCAACCTATTTGAACAACCAATTTTAATTTCATTTGGCGCCACTGCAGTAGTCCTTAGATTACCTAAGGATGTTTGACTGTTGAGGGCAGCTAATACCAAATGTATGGTAGTTATAGTATGTGTACTTAATAATAACAGTAAATATTATTGCCATAATATTAAATATTTACAAATCAATGAAAAAATGTCCATTTACTTCTTCTAACAGTTTATTCGAATCAAAACATCTTATCTTAAGTAACAATATGAACTTTTAGGATTAATTCAGAGTTATATTATTATTTGTTAGGTACTCATATACGAATAGATAAATTATTAAAAATGTGATTATACGTATTTGTTTTAAATAACAGCAGTATTCAATATTGATAAAATTTAATTGGTAGTCATAATTAAAGATTCTGAGCGAGGCAAGTTATCTGTAAATTTTAAATTGTATCTAATTAGTGCTTAAGAGATTTAATGTTTTGATTTTTTCATTAATTTCCCTATAAAAAATACTGATAAATTTGTTATTTTTTTTTATATATGAAGTATATCACAGATATATACAATAAAATAAATAATAGTTCTATAAAATATGAAATGTTCTATGGTTAATTAAAATCTGACATAAGAAATCATTTTCTTCAAAACTGTGTTTATTTTTTGCTAAATATAGAGTTTTGAAAATGTTGAAAATGTAGACTTACAAATGTATTCTTACTGTTTTTCTGTTACAAAATATCCGATTTTTATTTCTAAGATCGGAAAATTGTTTCTACAATTGAACTGTTGAAGTTAGCATAGTGGTATATGTTTAATATTAGTACCAAACTACTAAGCTAAATAATATTAAACTTTAAAAAGTCAACTTTTTGAATGAAGATTTCAGTTTCAAATAGTTGATTAATATTAATATATGAATTAATTGCTATTATTGGTTATTATTGTAGTTTGTAGATACATATTTAAAACTGTATTAGTTATTACAAGTTACCTACCTATAATTTATTACTAATATTATATTAAATTTTTTTCGTCCGCTTTGGAGACCATCTATGCTATTTAGGCAGTGATCTTTTCTTAGTCGTTTAAATGCCATTTGCTTTTACATTTTTATAAACTCTGTGTAGTGTGTCGGTCTTCCCCTGGGAGTCCTGTTTCAAACATAATTTTCTTTTGATTTGCACTTAACCAAGCCAACTCAGTCTCTTTTATTGGATTCCAGTAATTATTTTTGGTTTTCCAAATTTGTTTTCCTTTGTTTGATCTAATTTCATATGCTTGTGTCTCATAATTTATAAGACCATAAATCCTCCATAAGAACTTTTTCATTGTGACTGTTCATTTTTCTCATCTTCTTAGGTTGTATGCTACGTTTCACATGCTTCTTTATAACTGGTCATGCTAATATTCTATATAATTGTTCTATCAATTTATTTGATACCGACTTTGACTCCATTAACGTGAGCGGGCATAGATTGTGTTATAACTTATGATCCTATTGTTGTTTTAAATTCTTCTGCACTTTTGTTGGCAACATTTAAATTTTTTGTACTCACTTTAATTGTTGATATTAATTTTGAATGGACCCCAAACTAAACAAATTTTTTTTGTTGACTTCGCAAATGCACAATTAAGTTCACTTTATTATTAGAAAAGATGCTGGTATCAAAAATTGAAGCATTTTACCCCAAATTTTGATGACAGTAAAAAAGCGGATACTCCGCTGTACATTCAGTGTCTAGAGAGTCTCTGTAATGATTATGTTAAATTTGAAATCAATAATTATTTCATACGAAAACCAATTCTGAGCCTATAATATTAGTACTTAAGTAAATTGTATGATATTATTGTGATTAAAGTAATTTATTTTACTGTTAGGCAAATGTATATACTTAAGTAGATTAAATTAATTTTTATCAAAAAAAATGCATTCAATCAAATCAAATTAAAATACAACAATATAACTAAGATTAACTTCCGTTGTTTTAATATGTAATTTTGTCCAAATTCGAACTAATAATAACTGTATTTATATATTTTTTAGATTTTTTGGTTACCGTATAATCTATTTAAGTGAATCCTTTTTTAAATCTAAAAGTCCTTACCTATACAAATTTAATTTTTATAATTTTTTAAGCTTCAAATACTTATGAAAAAAAATTGTGCCTATGAATCTTTAATATTTAGCAACTACTATTATAGCAACCTTAAGAGACCTTGTATTATATTTTTCAGCTTTTTGATTCAACAAAGTTATTGACTTTTATAGAATAAAAAACTAAAAAGTTGAAAATTGTTAGTCTATAAATAACTCATAGCAGTTAAAATGTTTTTAATAATAATTATACCATGTATTGAAAATGATAAAATGAACATCTGATAAAAATTTCAAATACACACAGTTAATAGTTTTTGAATAAACAGACATTTATATCTTTGTTTATTTTTATATATTAGATAATATATTTTTTTTCTTTATTTTGAATACACAATCTATACATAGGAGCACAATAAGTATATATAATGAGAGTAGGAATACATATCATATTAAATATTAATTAAATAAACAAGTTACACAAGTTTAAAAAAAACAATACAATATTTACATGAAATGCTTTATGTGAGAAGCCATCCATTAATGACCCACACTGATGATTTCTATTTTTTTTAATTATTTAAACCCAAGAAGGTCAAGGCACCAATTGCGTTAGAAATGTCTGGGCGGATTACTAGGAATGGAGGGGGCTGCAAGATTGCGTATTAATGGGTTATGGTTGGAGGACAGACGGCAATGAAACCGTTTGTAGTGAGCTTTAGCTTCTTCTTGGGCTGATTTCATTTTTAGGTTGGTATGTATAGTGTTGTTTGAGATGTAAGGTGGGGCAAGTAAGTTTTCTTAGGGCTATATTTTGGAAAGTTTGAATATTATTCAAGTTAGATTTTTTTGCATTACCCCAAAGTTGAATCCCGTATGTCTAGGCTGGCTTGATTAGGGATTTGTAGATGAGTAGTTTTGTGTTGACGTTAGTGTGTAAGTTATTGTTAGGGAATGTTTTAAGTAAACGAAAACGAGAGTTTAGATTTAGTATGCTGGGCCCAGGTTAGCCTACGATCAAGAGTTAGGCCTAGATATTTGACTGTTAGAGTAATAGGAATTTGGCCATATATGGAGACAGCAGGATAAGGCAGGAGTTTGAGGGTAAATGTGGTGTGAGTGGATTTTGATTGATTAATTCTGAGTCTCCATTTTGTATACCAGTCTTCCATGAGACATAGGTGATTTTGCAGGTGATTAGAAGCTGTAGTGGGGTCAGAACATATGGAGATAATTACCTTGTCATCAGCGTAATCGGCAACTAGAGTGTGTGGCGTAGTAGGTTGATCGGCAGCGAAAATATTGTAGAGTAGAGGGAAAATAATACCCCCTTGAGGAACACCAGCAGAGATTTTGGATATACTTGAAAGAGCATCACCAACACTAGTGATGAAGTGTCTTTCAGAGAGGTAAGATTTAATGACTAAAAAGTAGACTGGATGAAGACATTTTTTGAGTTTGAATAGGAGTCCATCATGCCAAACCCTATGAAATAATAATAATAATAATAATTTAATAATTTATTCAGCAATAATAGTTTACAATGAAAGATATGTACATATTTGTAATTATATTGCTTCGCCCATCACTAAGGATAAGTTCCTTGTTTTGATGGGTAAGAGTCTCTAAGAGAGAGAAAAAAAGAAAAGTTAATTAATTAAATGAATGAATATAATATAAATAATTGGATAATATAATGAAGAATATAATGATAAATATAATTGTTGCTAGTAGTTTATTATAAGATTATACGAACAAAATAGGATAGTATAACGAGGTAATGTACAAAATAAATAACTTTACAATATGCCTGTGAGATATCCAAAAAGGCACACGTACAATAAGATTTTTTTTGAGAGCATAGGAAATAAAATCTACAACTCTATAAGCTTGATATATTGTTGAATGAGCACTGCGGAATCCAAACTGAGAGTCAGGAAGAATGGAGTTTGTGGTTAAGCTCGGTAGAATGCGTTTTAGTATGACTCTTTCAAGGATTTTAGCGAAAAATGGTAACAGACTTATAGGTCGAAAGGAGGAAATAGAGTCAGGAGGTTTGTTGGGTTTGGAAACAAGGATGATAATTGAAAATTTCCAGAGTAACGGGAAGTAGGAGAGTCTAAGAACCGAGTTAATAATATGTGTGAGGTGGACAATAGCTTTTTTAGACAGGCATTTGACAACTTCCACAGTGATTAGGTCAAATCCAGGGGATTTATTAAGGGGGTATTTATCAATAGTATGTTTCACTTTGTGTGGAGTAAAGTGTTTGACAGGAGGACAGACTGGGAGTGGGGCATTTAGAAACTCTTCTACTGTGTTGATATTATGAGGAGAGTATACATCAGAATGTGATACAAAAATATCAGATAAATGTTGTTTAAATAGTTCGGTCTTATCTGAATCAGAGGAAATATACCATTAGGTTTTTTGATCGGAACATTTGGGGTTTTTGTTTTACAGATATTTTTTGTGGCTCTCCAGAGACTGCCGTCTTTGGGAGAAAGATTTGTTAAATAACTTATGAAATAATTAGATTTGTATTTGGCTAGTATTTTTTTAAGTTTATTAGCCAGTTTGTTATACTTTTGTTTATGTGAAGGAAGCCGAGAACGCTGGTAAAGGGCTCTAGATCTACGTTTTTCCACTATAATTTCACGAATATGGACAGGGATAAGGAAAGATTTAGAAGAGGAAGTGGGTTTGGTTGAGGATGACCATGCCGAGGTTTGAATAATGTTTGTAAGGTTGTTTACAGTTGATTCCAGTTCCTCATTCAAATTAGATAATATAAAATATTATTATAAATTAATGTAAAAAATGTATATACCTCCCTTGGTAAAAATATACAGAATTTCTGATGTATAGTATGTGTAATGTGTACACAGTCATACAAATGATTAAATATTAATTCAATGTTATTATGTTATTTACATTACATCTTGATGATGACTTATCTCTGGACTTATCATGCGTTCAGTTTGTTAGAGCTGAATAAAAGTTAAATATTATGACCACAGTTTTCATACATTTATATTCTTTTATGTTTAAACAGTAACTAATATTATATTAATGATACATCTTTTCATCTGGTAACAATTCTAAATTCTAAAAATGCTTGGTTTAAATGTTTAAACCCAAAATCTATTACAAATTAGTTATAACCAAGCTTATTTATGTTTTTTATTTAATTCAGCTATTTTTTACGTTTTCCTGAACAATTCTATGACTTTAGTCTTAAAAATCAATCAATGTTCTAATCTATAGAGGGTCTTGCATAAAATTGTATGCTTTTTAACAACTTACTCTAAAAATGAATTTCCAAATTGTATATCCATACAACTAGCAAAACATACGTAAAAACTTATTAGATCAGTAAATGATGTGTTTATTATTTATTACATGTAATGTGTTTTGTTTATTTACAGCCATTTAATTTTTATGATGATATTCATATGAACCATGGATCTGATGTAACTGCAACGTCTTCCCATAGTTCAGAGTTTGAAGAAGATAGACGATTAAAACCAGAGGTAAAATATACTTATTATTTTATTATAATTATAAGCTATCTGCAGCACCTAAAAGCGTTGGACGCTTTCTTTTATTATTTTTAAAATGTTTAGATCTATTCTATTTAAATCACACAAAATAGTTGATATTTTTAATTTAGATTGAATCACATTTATGTGTGTGACATATATTATGTTATTCATACCTTTTTTAATTATTAATATAACTCAAAATGTTGGTTTTGGATAATGGATTCTTAAAATTTTAACCATACTAGGTCAGGGTTACCTACTCAATTATATCTATACAATATAATATATTTTAAAATTAGTTTAATGTTATTAATTACTAAAATACAAGCAACTTCATTTTTTTTAAAAATGACTTCCTATAGTTAATAAACATAGTAAATAAAGTTTAAAAAAAAATAGCAGAGTTTTGTTTAGAATCGGTTTTTTGAAACCTTGATTTATCATTGCTTTCAATAATCATTATAACCTCTATAACACAGTGACTACTTCTTGTGATGACCTAAACAAGATGAATTCCTAAAATCCAGTTTCTTTTAATTTAAACATGACAATTTTCTCATTTAAGAAAAATTCTGAACAAAGTTAACCCTAAAATGTTCAAAACTCAAGAGTGTAAATATATATTATTAAATGTTTTTCTCAATTTTATTGAAAAATTGTTTTAAAAATGAATACCAAACTATTTGTTGATAAGTTTTAAGTATTTAATGTGTGGAGTGAGGTGTCGCATACTCACATAGACATTGCAGTGGATTTTTTAACTAGCATACTAGGTGCCAAAATTGACACACAGTGAAATATTTTTGTTGCCTAGTAGGTAATAAATCTAGAGGCATTTTATTTTTATTTTTTGTAAATATCCATGAGGGCTTAAGTACAACTTAATATTATTACAATCTTAAGTCAAATACAAAATAAAATAGAAGTATTGACTAATAACAGATTATGATAGGTATTTACTGTTTAGTAAGCTATAATAAATAAAATAGATAATTTAATATAAGATAAGTTCAAAAAGTATAATCCATTTATAATGATAGATAGTAGGTAATTAACAAATCAGTCTGTATAAGACCCACATTTTTTCTCTGTTTGTGTACTAGCATGACTAAATGTGGCTTCTTAATAATAGGTAGCATATTATTGAAGCCAGAAAGAATATAGCCATAAATTGCTGGTTTCCCGCTAGTCGAATATTTTATTTGTGATTGTTCTATTTGATTTAAACCCATTACCCTTATTTTTATTTTGAACATTTTTGGTATGTCTATCAAGGACATTAATGATTCTTAGTTGGGCTCAGATTTAAACTAAAAAATCATAAGATATTTTCTGAAAAATATGCATTTATGCAACCAAAATATAAGTAGTAAAATAATGCTATATACTTATAAATAGTGATAATAGTCAAAACCATAATGTTTTCAAAAAAATAAAATTTGATTTTGATTTTGATTTTCAATTAATATAAAAAGTTACATCAATGTCTACTTATTCGTATATGTTGTTGTACCTATGTCTTATTATAATTTATGAAAAAGTATAATATAAGAAGTGAACAAGTAATCGCTCTGTAGTTTGTATTCAGTGTACAGTCACCAGTAGGTGTCGAGTGTACCTCGTTTTTGTGACATTGAGTAGGTCACCCAGTCACTGTAATGGATGTGTTAAATTTGAATTCAATGATTGTATTGTATTCAATTCATTGTATATGATAAACTCTTCTGAGCGGAGATTGGCTGACAAGCTGTTATTACCAACTAGGTACTAACTACTAAGTGTCTAAGTATATTTTATCATATATTTATATTGTTAGTTTAGTAATTTATTTTGCTGTTAATAATATGGTAATGTTTTTTTCTAAAATATATTTACAATCTGTTCAAAAGAACAATAAGCAAATTAGATCAAGAATTATGCATTATTTGACAGATGTAGCCACCTGCTGATGTTACACCTATTTTGGTACCTAGTGTTGTTTGGATTACATTTTTTTGGAGGGGAGAATTATTTGTTTTTAGATCATGTATTGATATATTATCTAGTCACGAGGCTATTTGCGTTTAATATGTCTCGGAGATTACAGGAAATGGTAGAAACGTTAAATTTCTGCAGTGAAAATGTTTATACTGTACCTAATTTTGCTTCCTTTTGAACGGATTTCATCTTGATATCTGGATGTATTGTGTAATTAGAGACTTAGGATGGGGATTTATTAATTTCCTTGATGTTGAAAAGTACTTGTAATTATTTAATTTTGACCCCAAAAGTACCTACTAGAGCTAATTTTTTACCAGAAAATCAAAGTATTTGTACTGTTCCAAAAAGTGATGTTTGACATAAAAGTAAAAAAAACACATTGTAAAATCATGTATTTATCTCTTAGTATCGCAAAGACTAAAACTAACATCATATGATGAGAAATCGTGATTTAAACTTCACATTGTCATAAAAAGTATTTGTGGAATTACATTTAATTTTTTTCCTATAATTATAATAAGCAAAACTTATGTGACCACTTATATTAAATTTTCAACTACGAAATTATTCTCAATGTTTACGATTATCGGATTATGACGAATTTTGTTCAAATTCTAATTAGCTCTAAAAAAATTATTGTAGTTTACCCTCACCTGTTGTTTTCGTAATTACTTAGCGAAAGTACTCACCATTTTTTACTTTCGACCCCCTAAAGTGCCAACTAGATTCACTCTCCCATCAGAAATTATATTTTTTCTATTATAAACACAAAAGTAAAAAAGCCGCCAAAATCGTTTAGCTATAGCTATTTATTCTATTATATAAATGTATAGGAAATACTAATATAAATATTCGGTGAATATGTCATGTGTCTACTGTCATTTTTTTTTTGTTCCACATCAAAAAAAAAAATCGATTTTGTCAAAACCTGGTTTTTGCATAATAACCTATTTTCCTCAATTTTGTTTTGTTTTTGTTTTTTACAACGCTATTGAAGACGACATGGTATTTTTAATGTTGACCTATCTTATACAATTATTGTTTAACTTAGTTTTATTATCTATAGTTGAATGAATTATAAAGTGATTTAACAAGCAATTCGTTGTACAGTAGTAAGTATAATAATATTATACATACTATTTATCGACCCACTTATGTAGATAGCAGTAAATAAATTATTATACAATATAATGTTTGTTTTAATATTGTTTACGTATTTTATTTAAATTATATCAGAGAATAAATCAATATAATTTATATAATATTTGTAGTAATCATAAGTCTGTTCAAAACTACATTTTGCGCTGCGAAGGTGCTACAGATTTACCAACTTTAAATTCTATTATAAATATAGTAGGTATAATATATATTTATTATTTCCGAAGGTAGACTACCTACTCAAATGCTCTGCCAACCGTTTTAAAGTATTCTAGAATCTAGATTATTAATTATCTGCGTTGAGCCATATCAATATTATTCTAATAGATATTAGTTACAAGCTATTTTCCAAACTATGATAACAGTCGTTAATATCCCAATAAAGATATGTTTAAACACGTCATGACGTCATTTTATTAAAAACTAACTTAATGTTTTTATAGTTTTTTATGTATCATATTATATTCATATTCATAACATTTCAAAGGAGTACTATTATAATGTGTTTATAATATTTTTTTAATTATTATTTTTGAGTTTTTAAGTTGTTTTGTGTGCTCAATATTAATATGGCACTAATACCTGTTGATTTGTGTGTATTATACATTATACCCAACTGTACCAATGAAAGAATAGAGATGATTTGGTAATCCTAACAATTGACTTTGAACAATATATAATTCTACGTATCTATTATTAAAAGTGCACAATCCGCATTGTACATTACGACTTATGTACAGAACCCTTTTGTGATCCCACCCACTCTATTATAAAAATCAAATCTATTATTTATATATTATAATTGCCTTTTTATAATTAATAATTATATAGATTGATTTCGTTTGTGACTGGTGGAATTAGATTTAAAGGTATAAATGCGTATTGATGCATATAAAAAAAAAATAAACTTAACAGAAAATAATAATTAATTTAAATTACTTTAAGCTTTTAATTGAATTTAAAGATAGGTAACAAATATTTAACCACTTTTGATTTCGATTATCTAATATAGTTTTTTTATTTATGAAACTTGTAATTACAGAATATTTTGAGACCACTTCTAACCTTATAATACCCCATTTTTCCTTAACTAAAAATATAATATTATGACGTGTACTTATAATAAGTGTAGGTACCTACTATATATTGCATGTGTGTTACGGTTACCCTTGAGCGCAGATGAGTAAAGTATAAATAAATGTATGTTACGGTAAAAGTACCAACGTAGGTACAACCTAAAAATGTATAATATTAGTATTTCAGATTTTTAATGATTGTCCTTGATTTATCCTACTGTCAAACAATTATCTTAAATTTTACTTAAGGTGCATGGTAAATTGTATTATACTCAAAATTTAATCTGTGACTTATCACGTAATTTGTTAGGATACAAAAAATTCAAAACCTTAAAATTTAAAATGTATTTATATCTTCATAACATTTAAGCCTCCCTCCACCCATCTGTTAATTATACAATTAATATATTAAAATAATAATGCTTGTCTGATGTCACATAAGATTTTTTATTTCATTTTTATTCTTTCAATAAGATAATGGGTATAACTAAATGGGAATTTTCCGAGTGCGCGTCCCCTACAAAAGTTTTCATACTTTTGACGTAACACGTGTGCATTCCAGTTCGTTTTGAGTTAACCAAAGTGCTTCCAAAATTGTATATTATATATAGTCGGTTAAAAAGCTATATGCTATAAACGACACTAGCTATATAGTGTTGTAGACGATGCTTTTTCGAATCTATACATAGTTAGTGGTACATTTAGTGGTACCATTATTTTATAACATGTTATCAATGAACTAACATTGGACTCTAAAGTCCAAATGACAGCTAT